ATGAAGTGATTTGCAGACTCCCCAGAAATGTAATTGCACTCAAGGAGTAAACAGCTGTAAGATGGCTGAGGGCTAGATGCTGAGTTTTCTCATATAAAGGTAGATGACTGAATTGAAGCTTTAATGGCAAAACAGCACTCAGCCTTAACTACAGCTACTACCTTAATTACAGCCTTACCTGCAGCTACTGCCTTCACTGAAGCCTTAACTACCCACTGTTACTGGAACCATTTTGTCAGTCTCTCCCTGTCTTTCTTTCTTGTATGAGCTGTGGCTGTCACTTTATCTACTCAGATTCTCTAACTTAATTCCTTCGCCTGAATTCCCTTTATCTATTTTGCTACTCCTGTGGTTTTCCCCTTCATCTCAGCCCTTTGCTATCCAGCATGGGGGAAAGCACAGGTGGCCTTTTGCTCTAGTGGGTAGCTTCTGCCTCTGAAAACCAGCTTGGAGATGGTGATTAACAGGGGAGAAGGAAGGGACTTTAGCATCAAGCAACAGCAAAACCAGCTAGATGTGGGAGGACTTCAGTGCAGCTGTACAACCTCCTGTATCAAGACAACTTCATGCATAAGAAAAGCAGAGGACACTTCTTGTTCCTCCCTCTCTGCAGAAGTTCTGCCTCTATCTCTGAGGCCTAAAGAACAGCACTCAAAGAAGCTTTTCTCCTTCCCCAGATAGTACCATCTTAAGGCATGGGACCACAGGACCAAGGCATGGATGCTCATCTTTGTTGGGACCTGGGAACCCATCAGGCAGTGTTACACGTGATTTGTCACACTGTGCAGTAGGATCACACAGTTTCCCCTGTCCTTCTTGATCAACCAACTGCTTCTCTGGGAATAGCAGTTACTGTGCATTCCCAGATAAATGATGCGTGCACAGTCTATTTGTCTGTGCACAGTGCAGGTCTCTCTTACCTACATAATGAGACCTGTAACTCACAAGCACATCAACATCTGCACTGAAGATATGGTCTTGGTTGTCTCAGATCTACTGTAGCTGCACAGTATCTTGATGTGCACAGATCAGAAACTACTTTCTAGTTTTTAAGCTGAAATCCCAGATAGATACATCAAGGATATATACATTTCTTTCTGAATGCCTGACTTAACCATCCAGAGCTGTCCTGGATTTCACCATTGCACTTTTGGCTTATTGACTCTAGTTTAAATCCCACATAAATGCTTTGCTAAGGTCCCCCAACATCCTTAAGATTACTGTGTCCTAGAGTCATAGCTGTGAATGACCATTCAGAGAGCACCTCCCGCCCCAGGCAGACTAGCCTTGGAAAGTCCACATCAGCCTGAAAATAAACACTGCCAACATCATTGCTTTTTTTGCAGCAGTATCCGCAGGCAGCAACTGTTTCTTGATCTTGCTGAGCGATATACTTATTTGTTAGCAAGGGCAGATTGTGATTTTTGCTTCACAGAGATACAGCAGAATGATGAGAAGGTGGCCTAGGGGAAGAGGCAGGGAATGTTGCTCTTGACACATCTATATTGAATAATTAGTGATAAGAGCCAAAGAAATATTCATGACTCTGTAAAAAGATAAATAGATTTTTGATTAAATTTGAGTTTCCTCTTTAAAGCAGTTAAGTTGCCCTGTGATTGGTAGCATGGAAATGAGGGGTTTTATGAATTCTGACTGACTGGAGGATTTCTTTTTAAAGCTGTTAGCCAAGATAATGCTGCAGATATCTAGCTAGCGTGTGCTGGCAAGAATTCAGAATGACAATGCCAGAAACCTGCGCTCTGTGGGCAGTTGCAGGGCAGCTGTTGAATGATTGAATCAATCCAACTTGTTTGAAGGATTTATTATAGCATTTTCTCCACCCAGTCTCCTAGATTTGAGCAGAATTTCAGTGGTGTCTTTTAAGATACATGGCAGATTCCACTGCACTTCAGCTAACCTCAGGAAGGTAAATGCTTTAAGGACATTTACTAGTGGTACACATAAATACATATGTACCTATCTTGGGTTCTTCACAGTGCTTACATTCTTATTTTCAAGGATGTTAGCACAGAAAGCTTTCAAGGTGGTTGCACTGCCCAGCATCCACAAGTAAGAGTTCTGAAATTGTTGTCAGAGTCATAATATACAAATTAAAATTCAGGAGAATTCTGCAAATTGAGATGCTGACTCTTCCAGTGTACCCCAGTGCCGTGGCTATCCAAAAAGTATTGTCCTGGAGGGTGTTGCTGAACCATACAGGACAACAAGCAGGATGTGAGAGGTCTGGCTTAAGTTTCTAGCTCAGTGACAGGCACCACCTGTAGTAGCCATTTAATGTACTGTGTGTCTTCATGACTCACACGGAAAGGCAACTGTACCTGATGGAAGCTAAAATGTATGCAAGGATGAGAAACTCAGACATGCTAAGTGACAGGAGGTCAACAGTTACCTAGATTGTGTATTCACTCCTTTTACTCCCCCTATATTTTCCAATAAGCCTCAATTATATAGAACATGCTAGAACTGGTCTTTCTGTTCTGACATGACTCAACTGAGCAAAATCATTGATCTATATAAGTCCTGTACTCTTTTTTGGTACTATGGCTTTTTCTTTCCAAATTACAGTTGCATTGCAAAGTTCCCTACAGTTTCCACACTGCTTTCCTTCACTGTTCCATCTAAGCAGTCCAGTAGTAGTGGCAGTTTGCTGTCCTTGTCCAGGCCTAGGTTGCAGTCCCAGTTCTGGTGCTGCTCCTCAGTAGACAGTTTGCTGTCCTTGTCCAGGCCTGGGGTGCAGTCCCAGTTCTGGTGCTGCTCCTCACCTCTGATTTGCGTGTGCCTGTACACTATACTCCACCTTTCTGATATGAGAAAAAGACAACACCACTAGTCAAGCATTTTCACAAGAATAATTTGTCTGCCAAAAGCTTTTAAAATCATATGTTAGGCCAGTGACATGACTACAGTTTGCTGTCCTTGTCCAGGCCTGGGGTGCAGTCCCAGTTCTGGTGCTGCTCCTCACCTCTGATTTGCGTGTGCCTGTACACTATACTCCACCTTTCTGATATGAGAAAAAGACAACACCACTAGTCAAGCATTTTCACAAGAATAATTTGTCTGCCAAAAGCTTTTAAAATCATATGTTAGGCCAGTGACATGACTGTTTGTGGTGAAGACTTCAGAGTACTGAAAACAACAGGTGTAGAGCAGCTATTGGTTTGCTATAAAGAAGCAAATTCACTGGAAACAATATACATTAGAGGTCTGGGAACATGTATATAACATTAAGCAATTCAGTGTCTCACACTGGCCTTGCTCTCTCTCCAGCAATGTCCAGCAATATGCTGCAAGTCCCCCCACATCGACCCCCCACTTAGCCAAGAAGGAACCATTTTATTATCATGCCTGACTGCTTTAGCTTTATTTCATTATTCTTGCCACCACACCCTTTGTTACTATAGATTTTGCCCTAAAAGGTTAAAGCCTCACACAAATCCCAGTGAATTCATACAAACTCTTGTGAGGTGCAAGTGCTGCAGTAGCATTGCTCTTCCTTAGTCAAAAGAGTAGTCTCATGGTGAGTTTCTGGTCATCTTTTTCAAACTGTGGGCAGTTGCAGCTTTAAAAACATTCATTGTCTGTGTTCATGTGGCTGCCAGCAACAGAGCTACCAAGAGAGCTCAGGTAGTCTGTCCTACCCACTAGACACAAGCCTGTTCTTTCTGGTCTTCCAATGGCCAACTCCAGCCCACCCTCCAAGAGGAGGTTCTGGTTTTCATTATCTGTTTTGATCTTGAACCAAGGGTTTTAAAGTCCAGTCTAAACTAACACACTACTGAACAGACAGAGCTGGTTGGAATACCTGTGATAAACTCTTAAATGTGTGTGTGGACAGGGTGTGTTAAATATTGTACTAAACTTCTGAATTCCACCTTTTCTAAAATTTGCGAAGGATCAGCTGCATTTCTCTCACCTCACATAAGATTTGCTGTCAAGGTAGCTGCGGTCCCAAGTGTACCCTGAGTTTATTGTCATGCTCTGCCAAAAGCTGTGATACCAAATCAGGGCATTCCATGCCCTTGGGATGAATATTTGGCATAAGATAAGTGTAGTGTGTATGGAAATTCAATTAATGGGCTGTCTCACTGGGCATTAGTATAGCATGCTAGCACAAAGCTAACCTTGCTGTGCTTCTGTTGTGCTCATTACTTTTTGAGACAGATATTGCCCAGCCATGATTGCATTTGTCACAAGAAACACATGCACAAACGAAGACAGACTCAGGGACCTCTGGGAGGTGTCAGTATAAACAATAGCATGATTTGCACACAGGTTTCAGACAGTTTGTATCCCTTTTACTTGTCAAGTTACTTTAATGAAGGCTATAAAATAAATAGCTGTGGCTATAATCTTTAGGAATTAAAATTATCACCTGGCAAGTTGAAGTAATTAACTCTTCTCAGCCAAGGATCAAAGCAGAGATATATGGGTAGAATGATGTGAAAAGAATATATTAACTCACTAGGTAATAGTGCTGCTGTCCATCCTTTTCAGTTTTTTTGAGGGAGAGGTGGGAGGAATCATGTATTGGCAGCTTTTGTGACCACTGGAGTAATTAAGAGTCATCTTAGCAGAAGAGATACAAGACATAACTTAGGGATGCATCTGTTTGGTACAAAAGTACTGTTCTGCCTTTTGTCCTATAAAAGGCTATGCAGCGTGGACCTTCCTTCTAACTGAGTACAAAGCCAAGTTAAAGGATGGGATTAGAGGGCTGGAATTCTATAGTCACAGAATACACAGAATATGCCTGGTCTTCTCTTAATTCCTTACTTTTAGGAAGTTCATTGTAGGGCCATAGAATTTTAAGTCATGCTAGTCCATTTCCTGAGTTTGTTAGAAATGTGCTCTTGTTGAGGTCTGCACACTTTTATTCTGTATAAGGAAGCACATCGTGATTCTGCTAAGCAAAATGGAAATGTATATAACCATAAATACCAGGCTGTTACGTGCTCATTTGGCTGTATTTTGTATTTCAGATCACCACATTATGCTTGTCCGGAAGTCATCCGGGTAAGTTGGTTAACATTAGCCTTCATAAATACGTTTTTGAGGTATCACTCCTTGCAAGTACACAGATAGACCCTCTGTACAAGAAATCTGTCCAAGTCAGACAGCATGGAAACTACACAAGGAACGTCACTACAGTTTTGTTTGTTTGGCTCAGCCCTGACTCAAGCTACACTGACTGTATGAGGGAAATAATAGTGTGTTATTCTCAGAGTATACCCTTCATACCATGTGATCAGGCAGAAATACAGGAGCCTCGTTTAATTTGATCTTTCGACCCAAGGGAGGTAGTCCTGTCTGCTTTCCTGTCTCTGATGTCGCTGTCATTCCTGTAGAAGAAATGGGTTTGACTGTGAGTGATGTTGCTTTCTGTTAAACAATATGCACCGTTCCTTCCCTCTACTCTCCCTTTGTCCTCTGCAAACAAGTATCCAAGATTTCAGTAGCCAAAATTCCCCTCTTCTAAAGCATATCTTTAATGTAAAGTCAAGCAGGAAGTATACAGAAGAGACTGTCCAGGGAGTACAGTGAGTTTGCAAATAACGTGGCTGGTGACAAGCTCCCTGAAGAACCAGGGAAGAGAAAAACACCTTCTTGGTGTCCTTAATGCACCTCTGACACTGATTACATGACAGGTCGGATAATTTCCGAGTTATCAACCATTCCTGCCCTGCTCCCCACTTCGGAGCCTTTTCCTGCAGATCCCAGATAAAACTGTAAACTGATGTCCACAAAAATTCAATTAGTGGGTTGTGTGATGGTCTCCTAGTTGGGAAGGCCACCTTGGGAAGCAGATGTCTGAATTGAAATGTGGGGTTTCCCATTCTCCCCTCTCTTATTCTTCAAGGATAATAATTAATTTACTAGTGATCAGTCTTTTGAACCTCTGTGTCATTGCTGCGCAGGGAGAAAAATATGATGGAAGGAAAGCAGACGTCTGGAGCTGTGGAGTCATTTTGTTTGCGTTGCTAGTGGTGAGTCATCTTCCTTGCACTAGCCTTGAAAAAGGAAAGAAGAATCTGAAAATGCTGTTGTATTTAATGGCAATTCTATTGACATCATGTACAGATGGGTTTTTTTTAGTGCCCTATTTTTGTATCTCTCAGTGGCATCCTTTCCTCTTATTTCTACATCAGTCCCAAAGGAAAAGCATGAAGAATATTTCACTGCTTCTTTGAAATTCTGCTGCCCTGCATAGGAGAGCACAGACAGGCATCAAAAACTTGTCTCCATAAATACTCTTTGCTGTGTTGTGATATTGCAGCACATTTTTTGCCTGGAAAGGATGTGCAGGGTTACAACTCCAGGATACATGGAGTGTCAAAGAAGTTGTCCTTCACAGGATCAAAGCATGGCTGGGTTTAGGAAATGTTCATTTTTTCTCCTGCATGTATATATGTGTTTCAGTAGGTATATGCATACATTAAGTACAGTGTTTTTTCAAGAGAAGATTTGAGTGCCACAACTTTGTTTCATGCAAGTAGTGAGCTACATTTTAATTTGGTACATTTGGGAATATAAAACTGAGCCAGTAGTACGAAGTTTAAATTAGTTTCCATCTGGCTCAGTAATACTTTTAGCATTCAAAATGTGGTATCTTGTAACTTATCCTTCTTTTGATCAAAGTTTCAATTCTCTGTGGAATTTATTCTGATTTGCAGTGCTGCTGTAATGCTCCTAAACATACAACAACTGGATGCCCAGCCGAAGGCAGATAGGCTTGGTATTGTTATCAGTTTCCCTGGTGTAATGTAGGAAAATATAGTTTATGTTAATGTAAGCATATACCACACACTGATAGAATAATCTATATGGGAATATGTTTTATGTGCATGTTAAGTGTTTTATCTATAACAGTTCAGCTGATCATCTACAATTATAAAAATAACAAGCCTGAAGTAAAATTTTGGTGTTCTTGTGCATTTATCAGTAAACCTAATTGCTTCATTTAAATGTTTTATTTTGACAAAAGCACTTGTACAGTGTACATACAGAGATAGATTCTGCATATTATTTTTCTTTAAAATGCTTTACAATTTCAAAGGATTTTTGTTTTAAAAAAATATACCAATTCTTTTTTAATGGTCTGAATCAAAATACCTTGAAGTAACCTCAGTATGATGCTTTAATTTCCCCTAACCAATCTCACTCCTTTTTTCTTTTCAGTCATTACAATTCACTGATATTTTTGAAGTTTCAAAATTTTTTAACTTGATGTTGCATGGGAAGAATTTTAACTGTCACAATAGATAGCACATGGTCACCCCTTACTGAGCACCTACTTTCATGGCTGATAAAACAGAACTGTATAATGAGCTCTTAACTTCTTGAATTTGTAAGAACAGAAGAGAGAATGTGTCAAGATGGTTAGGATTTGTAGGAGCAGGCTTTTCATTTTCAGGGGGATTCTCTGTCAATATTTAGTGTCTCTGTTGCTGCATCTTCATCTGTTCCCACATACACACTCGAGCCTGAAAAATGATTGAAGTAAGTCTATTATTGATGGAGAGTGCAGAGCTCTCCAGTTAATTATGTCAGGACAAACCCTACCAAAAGTCTCAAGATGTAATTGTAGATGGTAATAATGGAAGAACTGTAGTTGTTACCTTCAGGAAATGCCACAAAGCATCCTTTCTGACTTCATCATGGCTTAAATTGCATTAGCCAAAGTACTGAACTATCAGAATTGATTTTCCTTTAAGTCTGGCATGGTTAGGAAAAATGTAGGTAACTCAGGAGGTTGGTTACAGAAGACAGGGAAGCTCTCTCTTCAAGGCCACTTGACTGAAGGCACACCAATAAACAGTGCCCAGTAGTGATTGCCATTACTTGGCTTTCTGAGGCTGCTGTAAGTGGAGCTGTTGGTCTCCCTAATCCATAGACACAGGATTGCTTATACAGATGCACTACTCACTGTAGTAAGAGCAGTGCCAGAACTGACAACTTAAAGCTTCATTATCACAGCAGCTGACAGCTTGCAGCTTCCCACAAACCATCCTGGAAATCAAGGAAGCTCGGCACCTACTAGAATTAGGCAGTGAAAGAAGGAAGTGAGAATATCTAGGAAGGTGCAGTCTTGCTATAAAAGGGTATCAGCTTCAGTCGGTGGAGTCATCCTAAAGATTTCAACTTCTCTTTTTCCTTTTTGTCCTTGCAGCAAGGATAGGTCTTTTTCTGCTTTTTGTGGCAAGCTGATGATCTATTCACAATGTAGTTTCAGCTAAAAAAACCTCATGCCATTCATGTAAGTGAGCTACAGTAGGGAAGCAATAGGAACTGATGACCTGACCACAGCATGAGAACTGGATGTAGTATATTAAACAGGTAGAATGTCTGCTGCTTCCAAAGGCTAATGTTGGTTGGAGTTTCTTTCAGCTGTGTCATTTCAATGCTCCATCAGAAAGAGCATGTTCTTTACTGAAAGTCTCTCAAAGGCTGTTCACCTCCTTTTCAATGTCTGCAATAAAGGTCTGTCTCAGGAAGATTAAAAATAAGGAGACGATAAACATTGCTGCTGTGAAAGTATGCCCAGGAGGAATACCACCAGATCAAAAGCTTCAGCTGAATTTAAGTGAATCCATGCATCTTTGGTGAATTTGCCTGGAAAGGCAATTTCATATTTTGTATTATATATTTTACTGGTAGTCATTTTCTAATTAAAGGTCTCATAAAAAAGACTTGTCCTCACTTTTGTTTCCTATGGTAGAGGAAATGCAGCAGTACTGCGAAATTATTTCTTTTCAATGGATAAAAAGGGGTTTTTTACTTATTATAATAATTCATTATGAGTTAACTTCCTCTTTTCCATTTTCTCACCATGTTTATCCTGGCTTTTCTCCTCTGACCATCTCAAATTCTCTCCCATTGACCACTCTGTCACGTCTCTGCAGGGTGCCCTGCCTTTCGATGACGACAACTTGCGGCAACTGCTGGAGAAGGTGAAACGTGGAGTGTTCCACATGCCACATTTTATCCCCCCTGACTGTCAGAACCTTTTGCGGGGGATGATTGAAGTGGATGCCTCGAAACGGCTCACGGTAAGAAGGCATTTGGTGCTGATGGCATGAGCAAGGCTTCATTTCTTGCCTCGTTGCAGTTATGGTTGAACAACTAAGGTAACTTGTTGATTTGCTGCCACTTCTGTGTGTTTCCTCCTGAGCAAAGAATGAGTAGAGTTGGTGGCTACCTTCTCTTTTGAATCATGAGGACAGATTGCCTTTGTGGTTTTTTCTAGCTTCATAATTCTCTTTCATATGTAACAGTGGGCATTTATCATCACAGAGCTACTGACCCATTAGCACAGTTTGGAATCCACCTGAGCTGTCTGGTTTTTTTCTGACTGATACAGCCATTTTTTGGGGGCACGATATAACTGTTTGAAGGTCACAACTGTTAGGACTGTTATTTGAAGCTTTGCTGTTAAACAGTATGATTTCCTTACATTTCTGACAGAAGTGTTGGTTTCTCACTTCATGCCATGCAAGCTGCATTGTATTCTATCCTGCATTTGCTCTGCATTATCCTCTGGCAGCCTTCAGAGCAAGTGTCTGCCAGTCTGCTCTTTCATCTCATGCCCTGTGATCCTGAGCACTATTAAGCCCACAGTATTGAGCTCCTCAGCACTGAGTCTGCATCCAGGATACATCCTATCACTACAACAGAGATTCTGCAAGGATGAGGACTGCGTAGTGATTCTATCCTTCATTAGCCCTGTGTTAATGTTTTAGGGAATTGAAAAAAATTAGTGAGTAAAATTATTTTGGAAACTAAGATTGCCTGCCTGTCAGTGAAGGCGTCTGCCTTTATGGGTACATTGCCCTTGTAAATCCTATTGTCAGGCCATGGTGATGATTTTATACAGATTTACTAAGCTCACAGATTCTGAGTGGGAGTATGTATAAAGAAATGTAAATTTAAAACTCATCCTGGTTCTTCAGTCTGCTAAAATATTTATAAATAAACTCTCGGATCACTGGTTGGCCTCTCTGCTGGGATTGCTAACAACAGCATCAGTCTGTGCCAGCTGTGATGGTGCTTTTGGGATGCAGACACCTGTCTGCTAAGAAGTGAACTGAAACTCCCTTCACGACTCTCTTTACAGTGTCATCTGACAGCTTTTTCTTTCATTCATTACAAAGGCAGGTCATGCTCTATTTGGTGACATAGGTGAAAAGTTCTTCATGCTATTACTAATATCCCTATGTTTGCAAACCCAGTAGCCATTATATTTGCAGTACATAAATAGCAATGATTGAAAAAGTCATATTAGGCACTTTAAAAGGCCTTTTAAAATCAGGTTTTCTAAGAAATAAATATTTTCCCAAGTATTTTCATGGAAAGAATACTGCAGAGGTTAGGGCTGTACTCTAACCTGTATATGAGACTGAGACTGCTGTTCTTCCTGGCCAAGAAAGTCACCAAGTCCCTCTCAAGCTTAGCATCCTTTCTATAATGTAAACATGGCACCTTTTCTGTTGTGTTTGGTTTTGGAGTGGATTTTTTTGAAAGATATTAGTGCTGGTGGGCTGAGTATGGCAGGGAGCAGATCATCAAATTGTTCTGACTTTTTCAGTACTGCAGAGACTCTTAAGTATTTCGAATCGTGCAATACAGCAGAGAATTTACACAAATAAGAGAGAAAACAGTTCAGGTAGAGCAAGGTCCCAGAGTGGCACCTATCCCCCTCCTGTTCTTGATCAAAATTAACCTCTTACTTCCTTAGGGAGGAAAAAAAAACAGATCCGATAGTTATTGGCAAACACTAACCAGTGAATTATGAATAAGAATTTGAAACAATACATATTCAAGAGCTGAGAGCTGGGAGGGAAAAGGGATAGCTCTTTGTTATTAGCTGCAGTCTTATTTTCATTATTTGAGGGTCTCTCGTTTTGCTGTCCTGCTGCTGTCACACTTCTGGTCTGTTAGTATGCTGGTTGCTTCGATTGCCAGGCAGAAAGGAGCTCTTTGTTTACCACACAGGGGCTGGGAATATAGAGTTCATTTTGAGGAGAGATCTGAATTCTATTTTAGCTGTGTCCTGTGAAAAAGGGTATAAATATGGGTTTGTTTGGAAGCCTCTATTCCTAGAAAATATCTCACTTGAATCAATTTGATATTTATACAAAGATCTGAGCAAAATTGTGGCTTGGGTACAATAAGTACAGATGTAGCTGTTACCATTACTGATCATTTGCTCAATATCTCACTGGTGAATTCAGCAGAAAATTGTAGTGAAATGTAAGGTCACCAGAATTTTTTTCTTTCATTTTTCACTTTCCCTCTCTCTTTGTTCCTTTTTTTTTATTTGTACCTCTTTTAATTTTCATCCAACCACATTTCTCTCCCTGCAGTAATTGCCATTTCACAGCACACCCACACCTTCTCCAGTCCATCTGTTAAAATGATCAACAAAAACAGAACTAGCATTCACATTTAACTGTCATCATTCGCTACAGTGTTAGAGCTTGAGAAGATTAATGGAGGGGAGGGTACTCGGAATTATTGTTGCTGGCCCTTTCCAGCCTTAAGAAATAGGCATTACCTTTCTTTGTATATGATTCACTTATGGGAAGAAGACTTTATTATGTCTTAGTGCAATATTATTCATACTCACCACTCACATACCTCAAAGATGGTTAGAGGAACATGAAAGACTTGAGTGTGATGGTGGATGAGAAACTCACCATGAGCTGCAGTGTGAGCTCACAGCCCAGAAAGCAAATCAGCTCTTGGGCTGCATCAAAGGAGTGTGGGCAGCAGGTCAAAGGAATTGGTTCTTCCCCTCTACTCTGCTCCTGTGAGACCCCACCTGAAATACTGCACACACTTCTGGTGCCCTCGACATAAGAAGGACATGGAACTGTTGGAGCAAGTCCAGAGGAGGCCATGAGGTTGATAAGAGGACTGGAGCATCTCCCCTATGAGGACAGGCTGAGGGAGTTGAGGCTGTTCAGCCTGGAGAAGAGAAGGTTGTGTAGAGACCTCGTAGTAGCCTATCAGTATCTGAAGGGGCTCCAGGGAAGCTGGAGAGAGACTCTTTGTTAGGAACTGCAGTGATAGGACAAGGGGTAACGGAGTCAAATTGAAGGAGGGGAGGTTTAGGCTAGATATTATGAAAAAAATTTTCCTATGAGGGTGTTGAGACACTGGCACAGGTTGCCCGGGGAGGCTATGGATGCCCCAACCCTGGCAGTGTTCAAAGCCAGGTTGGATAAGGCCTTGAGCAACCTGGTCTGGTGGGAGGTGTCCCTGCCTAGGGCAGGGGAGGTTGGACTAGGTGATGCATAAGGTCCATTTCAACCCCTAAATATTGTATGATTCTATGATTCTTTGATCCTTGACCACTCTCATTTACTGGGCCTGTTTTACTAAACATTCTTTAAAATAAAAGAACCCATGTTTTTCTTTCAGTAGACTGCAAAAGTTGATCCTAGCTGCAGGTCATGATATTTCTGACCACTCATATTCATGAAAGATGAAATCAAAGAAACAACAAGTACTAAGGTGATCAGCATTTGAGACAACCTGTCTGAATAGTGTGGCCTGAGAGGATATCAGTTAGTCTATGCAGATGATGTCTAAGAAAGGTTGTATCGGTTGTCCGTATGTTCATTAGAGGTAATTACTAGGGTGAGGAGGGTTATTTAAACTAAAGGAAGATACTGTCACAAAACCAAATGTATGTCAAATAGCATTACATGAAAGTAGGCTAGAAACTAGAAGAAGCATTTTAGCCACATTATGGGGGTTCTGGGACAGCTTTCTAGTTGGAATAGTGTCAGGAGGGAAAAGTGAACTAGTATTCAATTTCGAGAAGGTTTATGGAAGGTGTGCTCTGGGTGCCTGCAGTACTGCAGGATGAGGTTTCTTTTAGTTACATGCTTGTCAGAAAGGTTTATTCTTTGGAAGTTTCAAATGATTCAGCGTCTCTACAGCAGAGAATTACAGCTCCTGTATAAAAACTATTTGCATACTCAGCCAATATTTTCTTCTACAGTAACACAAAGAGCAGAGAGTAAGGAGCTTTCGGTCCACTTTCCTTGTAAGGATGGATGGGCGTCATCAAAATTTTGTCTCTAGAGCAAGGTGGATCAGAGCAGATATTGCAGAAATAAGCTATTCCAATAAAGCTGTTATTTTCTTGTGTTGACATTTTATAGCAGAGTAGAATGACTTGTCTTCCATATTGGGTGTCCACACAGTCTGTAACACCTGACCCTGAATATTATCCAACTTAAATTACACACATTTTCAGAATCTCCTCTCTGCTCTCTGATTTTTTTTTTCCTGTGGGTCTAATGCATGCTAATGATGGACTACAACATATAAAGAATGTTACAAAAGTGAACAAGGGAAAACTCACCTGATTCCTTCTTCTAGAGGTCTTATGGTAAGGCACCTACCACATCATTTAAATTACCTTACTTTGGCACCTGTAGAATGGAGGTAATTGTCCCATTGACATATTTAGGCAGTAAGTTTTTGGTTGCATGTAGAACAGTGATACCTGCCCTTGTCAAGGACCCTGGAGGCTGCTATAGTATGGCTGCTGCTGCTGCCACAGATGACAGTTTTTTGTTTGCACTGCCAGCTTGAATCCTGTGCTCAGGAAACGCCTCTATCTTGACGTTATGCAGTAGGTTTAAAACTAGGAGGATCTTCTGAATGAAGAAGATCCATCTGAGGTGTGGGTTGATTTGGTGCACAGATGGGTTTGAGACTGTTCCCTTTCCGGACAGGGAAGTTTGAAATTTGACATGAGTTCAAGCCCAGAAGCCCTCATCTATATCCACAGACTTTGAGAAAGTTTTTCTTCAGGTCAGAACTTTTTAGCTTGGCAAGTGCTCTGCTGAGATCAGTGCCGAGGATGTAGACAGCACTGTCTTGTTTTCCATCTGCCTGTCTGTCTCCATCTGTTGTTCCCTGCCTTAGAATTCAGACGTAAGCTCCTTGTGGGAGGAGACCTCTTTTTCTGATGAGCTTGTACAGCTCTGTATCACAATGGATCTCTCATCTGTGAGTGGGGCTCCTAGATGCTGCTTCAGTGTACAAGTTTAATGTATATTGGAAGGATTTTTACGTGAAACCACGATAAAGGAATTCTCCTTCTCCTCCCATTACAGCATTTTAGCTTGCAGAAATCTTTCCTCTGACTATGCATGTGCAGTGGATCTGAGCATGTTTTGTTGCTTCAGAGATGGCGTCATGAGACAATTGCCTGCAGTGACTAGGAGATACTAGGAAGCAGCATTTTTACAACTTCCATAAAATGGCATTAAAATTGGCAAACTCATGTGCAAACAGCAAGAACCACCCTCTGGGAAGGGTTGTTAAATGCCTTCCTCACTTAAATGCGTTTAAACATTGTGTTTAAGTGAAGGCAGGAGGAGTGAGATTAGCTCCCACTGTGTAGCTCCCTCCCCTGCATTGCACAGTATAAAGCATACAGACTTCTTGTCAAAACCAATCGCCCTCCCATAACCCTCCTGTCACTTTAATGCAGATGAAAAGCAACAAAGCATTAATTAATTACTTTTAAAACAGTAGTGAAGATGTTGGCAGCAGTAAGCACACTAGTAATAATATTTCAATGTAATTATGCTTGAATCAGCATAGAAAATGGGTTTGTAGAATACTTTTCATATCTAGGATATCCCAGCATACTTCACAGCAATGGTTTTGTTGTGGATTGAATGGCAGATGTGTAGGTAAACAGCAGCCATGAGAGCTGTCATACACCAAGTGTATATCAAGGTGCTGCAGGGCTTTTCTTTTTTAAAAAAAAGGGTATGGGTTCATTAGCTTGAAGGAGGTTGATCAGCAGGGATGGGCAGCAGGGATTTCTCTTTGACATCATCTCTGAAGGAGCCCAGAGGTTCTGTGACTAAGACATGAACTGGTGACCCTCCTTTCTTTCCCCCATGAGAGCTGTCATACACCAAGTGTATATCAAGGTGCTGCAGGGCTTTTCTTTTTTAAAAAAAAGGGTATGGGTTCATTAGCTTGAAGGAGGTTGATCAGCAGGGATGGGCAGCAGGGATTTCTCTTTGACATCATCTCTGAAGGAGCCCAGAGGTTCTGTGACTAAGACATGAACTGGTGACCCTCCTTTCTTTCCCCCCCCACTCAGAAAGTGAAGTGCTGTTGTCTGCCTTGCCATGGCATTTCCACATATCACAGGCACACAAGAGCAATGTTGACCCATGGAGACAGAAAATGCAGCAGGAGAAGCAAGCGTGAAAGAGGCTTGGACATCGCGTAGCTGTATCATCTGCATCTTGTCTGAAATCGTTAATATTTCTAACTCTCCATGTGGTGTATAGGAAATAACAAGTAGATATGCATCTCACACGGTGGTTTTACCAAGCATGGGAGGTACAGTACACTCCTTAGCAGATCCTTACAGAACTATGGACCTGATAAGTGACAGTGCTGAAATCCTGTCCCATGGAAACTGTACCATATAGACTCTTCTTACGTTCTGTGGATGTGCCTGCAGGCTGTTAGGGGGACTCCCATAATGTGTATCTCGACAGGAGATGGCAGTGTGTCAGGAATATTCCACCTTTCTCTTAATGGTGCAGGGATGAAAGGACTACCTAATGCAAGGGGCATTGTGGTGAAGGGGAATTATTGTGGCAGAGCTGAGGCCACAGCTGGAAGCTGTGCAAGTCTGCCTGAGCCCATGGATGTGTGTGATGGGGAGCACTGGTGCTCCCAGCACCTGGGCTGGTTAGAAGATGGCTAGATATGCAAGTGCCAACTGCACCTCTTTACTGCAGTGTTGATACAGTCTCTGTTTTAAAGGAGGCTATTTGTTTCTCATACTGTTGCCTCCAGCCTCCTCTCATGCTTTCCTAAGCTGTGTTCCCTCATTTCTTTGTTTTCAGGAATAGTCCTGTCCCACTTTAAAAAAATTATCTCAAATAGAGCAAACCTCACATCTTCCTGGTTTCCCAGATGCAGTGTTGTTCCCTACCACAGAGGTCTCCAATTCCTTGCTCTCTGTGGCAAACACCTACTTAATATCTCTTAGATTTTGTTCATTCCTCTTTTTTTTTCGCTGGGTTTTTTTCTCTGTTTCTCATTATTCTGGAAGTGGAAAGTAATAAGAGCAGGACAGCTGTCTCCATTCTTCCTGGCCATTTTAATGGGTCTGTGGTTTCATCTTACAGCCGTTAGCACTTGAGTTTCCATCCAGCTCTCTCCTGCCTTTCACCTGTGTGTGGCACAAACACAAGCCCTGTGTGCAGTGAGTGTATTCTTCTGCACATACAAAGGTGCTTCATAATGTTGAATATGACAAATATTGTCCACATGAATAATCCCTGGACATCTATGAAATGTTCTTTTCTACTGCGATGATGATTAAAGCAAAGCATATTAGGAAGGTTCTGCTGTAAGTATGTTGTATGAACATTTTGTTCTCTCTAGTGTTCAGGGTTTATCTTGGCAAAATCATGTTGCTTTCTTCCTCCATGCTTCTGCAAAACATGGTCATCATGCAATGTTTGCTAGAATCTGCCTTCCATAGGTGGCCAAGGCCACTGTTCAGCCTTGGGAAGAGGGTAGTAAAATAAATTTCAGTCTGGTGTTCGGGTGTGGGTCAATAAATGTAGAACCTTATTCTGCTTGGTCTTAGATTTCAATGATTAAATGTGAAGCCAATCAAGAAGGTCAGATCACGCATACACATATGATTTTGTTTATTCATATTATCTGTTTGAACCCATTTCATTCTTTATATATATATATCTTTTTCTCCAAAACTAAACTAGAAATGAACTTTAAGTATAGGGGATCAGCTGTTACGCACATACAGACAGCAGCAGTTTGTTAGCTTTGGTTAGGTTATTTTGGGAAGGGAAAAACTTAAATTGCCAAAACACTTGCCTGTGAAGCCTTGCACTTAGCATGTGCCTGGGATTTGCTCCTGACTGATCCATTATGTCTGAAATTATAGCCCAGTGGGATGGGCAAGGATGAGCAGCTCTTTATGTAGCAGAAACTTCCTGTTGTATGCACAGTTCCACATCTGAAATGTTGGACTTACTTGAACAAACCTTGAATAAGAATGTCTTCTGGAGTTACCTTTCTATTTTACAGCACTAATTCCTTGTTTTCTTTTCCTTTGCAGCTAGAACATATTCAGAAACACATATGGTATATGTAAGTAGCATTTTTTTCATTCACTTTTTTCATTCATTATTGGCTCTGATATTCTAGCAATCTCTGAAGAGTGAGACTGGAGTTTGAAAGCAGAGTTCAAACAGGTGGAAAAGGAGGCAGAGGACAGAAAGACATCCAACTTTTTTTTACCCTTTGCTACTCATATAATTTCATCGATATATACCAAGCCAGGAACTTTTTTGTACAGTAGCTAACAACTGTTTGCAATAAGATGTTCACTCCAGCAACTTGCTGTGTTAAAGAGATACCTGCAGGTGATCAGAAAAAAAAACCAAAAAAACCCCTCGATTAGCAGCCATATTTAGGTTGCTCTCCCAGTGCTATAGACAATCCTATGTAATACCTTCTTGACAGGAAAGCTTTCATTTGTTCCTTTGTGGCATCTTGGCTTTACTCTGAAGTAGAAACAAAAATGATGATACTGATAAGTAAGCACCTGTGAGCAAGAGGTTTTCTGTCTCATAATCCCCACTCTTCCTTCACAGCAAGCTAGGAGGCTGCTTCTGACCTTGTAACCTGTTGATGTGAGAGTAGTGCTGTGACTTGATTAAAAGCAGCAGTCTTGACAGTGAAACAGGAGGTCTGTGAGAACAGTACATGTCTGTCTAGTGGTTTGGGTGTAAGACTGATGGCTTTCAAAAGTGACCTTGCACTTTGTGTAGCCCTAATAGTTTCTCAAGAAACCTAAGTAAATAACTTTTTTATTCTGATGATAACCTGCTCAAACTAAAGAGAATACTTCACATATTAAATATGGAAATAATGCTCTGATACATGTTTCTCAGGATCAGCTTTTCCCAGGTGGCTGATAAGGAAAGTTCTACCTGCATAATCCTATCATTGCTCTTGAGAAATACTCGAGGATGATATGAACTGATATTTAAGCCTGTCAGCAG